TCCATTCCTGGCAACTTTAAGTTCTGGTCGAGGGCTTCTTGGAGAAAAAGAAATGGTCAGAGACTTGTTCGCAAAAACCATAACCACTCCAAACTTCCCAGAATGAAGCCCCTACATCTATTAGGCCTCCCCTATCCACCCCGAGAACCATGTCAGAAAAGATGCCCTAAGAATCTGATATCATCCACCAAACCGGAATTTAAAAATAATTATATTAATAATAAATATGTTAAATTACATTTGAAACAATAAATAGAAAAATAAACTGATAAATAAAATCAACAGGTACAAAATGTTTCAAAATTTCAACCAAAAAAATACACAGACGACAGACAAGACGAATGGACATAATGGGAGGGTGCTAACTGCAGTCATGGGAACCTTTCACAGTTACATCACGGCTCCCCCATTTGGCCACCCTCTTCTTTCTCCAATTTGGAGACCAGGTGACTCAATGGCTGCTATCTTTGGGGACTCCAGCCAGCAAAAGGAAGCATCTGATTCCACCTCAATGCCCTTCTGCAAAGCACTCCTGAACCCTGGGGTGTGTGGGTTCAGAGGATGGGAGCGTGAGGCAGAGGCTGGACCGGGGCGGGGCAGAGCAAGTCCCTACAGAGGCAGGTCAGTGCTGTTGTGCCGGGTTTTCCGTGCAGTGCCATCGTCTCGGGGCAGAGCCCTCTGCAGGTTGGACATGGCCACGGTCTTTTTGAGGTCAATCACGGCATAGGAGTCTGAGCTGCGGGCAGGGTGGGTGGTGGGCACAGGGGCTCGGGGGACCGCAGGGTTCTGGGGCTCCTTGGGGTGGTCTCCACCCCAGCCCTTCAGCTCCACCTGGATGTAGTTGAGCTGCCTCGGGGGCTCGGGGCCCGGCCTGCGGAAATCAAAGTTGAAGACCCTAGGGGAGCCTCGGCGGCGGGTCAATGGCACAGGGAAGCTGCCATGGCTGCGGAGGACAGCCCGGGTGCTGGTGGGCTTCTGCAGTGGGGTCTCGTCCTCCTCGCCATCAGGGAAACCATTGGAGGAGGGTGTGAGCCCATCCCTTGAGTCTCCGTCATCCCCAGCCTCCTCCCCCAACTGCTGGGCATGGTTCTCCCACACAGGGGGCAGGGAGGGCAGGTTCTCATAGTGCAGCAGGGCAGCCCGGCGGTGGGAAAGGCCATTCCAGCCCAGCTCCTCTGGGCTCAGTCTCCAGCTGGCCCCTGGCCGCAGCCCCCCGCCGACATTCTCATAGGTACACTTGGGCTGGGCTGGGCACTCGGAAAGGCCCTCATTGTTGTTGTGGTGAGGGGGGTCGCGCAGGCTGGGGCAGAGGCCCTGGCACTTCACCATGTGCCGCCGAGCAGGGGTTGGACCCAACACGAACTTCACCTGGCCTGGCTGCAAGAACACCTGTGGGTCCTGGTGGTTGGGACCATGGGCCTGTGGAGGCAGGGGTGCCCGACCCTCAGGCAGGGGCTGCAGGCAGTGCCGGCTCCTGAGGTGGTCATCCTCACTGGCTGGCGTGTTGACGTAAGTGTGGGACTGGGAAGGGAAGAAGAGTCTGGGTTAAGCAGGAGTGTCCAAGGGCAGGGAGAAAGGAGAGAGCAGAAAGGACAGGGTGAGAACAAGAAGCACAGGGGAAAAGAGCTGGGGTTTCCTCCTCTTCCTTTTCCTCTCAACCTTCGAGAGAGGCTGCTTCCCTTTCTGGGGACAGAAGGGACCCTATCCATTTTCTTTCCCCGATGACCCTTATTGGAAGGAGGTGCCATATATCCTGACCCCCCATTCCCACCCAGACCAACAGGGAGGGGTGGGGCAGCTGCTTGCTCACCTGCTCATCAGGGACAATGAGGGCATGGGTGGACTCTTCACCAAGTGAAGGGTGTCGTAGGTTGCTTGTCGAGGGGTGCCGGGGTGCTGAGAATCGTGGGGCCTCTCCTGGGCAGCCAGGGAAGCCATTGGAGAAACTGGAGACAGTGTAGCCTAGAGCTGGGCACAGAGGAGCCAAGCCCAGGTGAGGGGTCCTTAAATCACCTGACAACTACCTGCAACCATGTGTGTGGGATCCTGGGACTTCTCCATTTGGGGGGAGATGCTCCCAAGACCCCTAAGATAGTTAGCCCTACCGAACCAGCAGTCCCTCATTATCTTTCACCTCTCTATTCTTAAAACACCACCCTTTCCCTCAGTGGGGCTCAGCTTGAACCCCATTACACTTCCTCCATCATAGCCTGACCTGAAACACTTAAGGCACACCTTGTCACCAATGGATCAACCCTTCGCCCTCAGTCTAGCTATGCCAGTGAGCTCTAGAGAAGCTCCTTAAAATCAGGGACTGTGTTTCTATTTCTTCTGCCCCTCTCAGACCGGCCCATGGAGTGCAGAACTCAGAGCAGTTGCTCAGTGCGGACTCAGTGAATGAACAAGCAGAAATTGTGAGAACCGCTCCAGAAACAGCTCATGGGCAGAGATGCCTGCATTAGCCTTCAGGAAAGGTATATGGGTATGACCCAATAGACAGAAGGAAGAAAGCAAAACAGTTCCAGACTGCTGTTTCCATGGAAACCCAATGTCTTCCTGTCTGCTCCTTACCATTAGTTAATACAAGTGTCAGGGCTCCCCAGCCTCTGCTGGAGTCATCTGATTGGCCCAGACCAGGCCTTATCCATCCCAAGAGTGGTTCTGATGATGGATACTGGTACTGGAAGGCTGGCTCACCCAGCCATCCCCCAACCTGCCTGCCTGATTCATGCCTCCAAGACTGGTACTTCCTGGGCCTGTGCTTGTGTGTGTGTGTGTGTGTGTGTGTGTGTGTGCGTGTGTGTGTGTGTGCGCGTGCGCATTGGGGTGCTGAAGACAGGGCTCTCCTCACCGTTGGGAGGCTGGGGGGCCCGCGGGAGGTCGATTTCAGCTGGGTGGCTGTTGCGTGTAATGATGACTGGCTCTTCCATCACGTTGATGCTGTTGCACTGCATCAGATCCTGAAGGAGGTTGAAGATTTCCTCGGCCCGGGAGCACTTGAATGCAAATATCCCTAGAGCAGGAGGGAGAAATGAGGCTCTTCTGACCCTATGCCCGACAGGGAAGGATAGAGAGGCTGACATGATGCACAAAGCTCAGGAAATGTCCCTGAACTTCAGTCCCAGGCCTGCAAGAGCGTGGGCTAGCCCCCCTCATCCTGAGTACTCTTCCCAGCACACTCTGAAATTCAAGAGCTATGGGAGAAGCTGGGCCCAAGCCCCTGCCCCCGCTCTCTCACCATCTATTACTGTCTTGAAAACTGACACGTCAGTTACAGTCTTCTGAGGTTAAATCTTTTTTATAAGGTTTGTGTATATACACAAGGGTGAGGGAAAGAATAAAAATCAAAGTGGAAAGGATAATATCAGATGAGTGACCACTCCTCCTCACATGCTGCCCCATCTCCCTCTGCCTACCACTCCCTATTCCCCAGAGAATTGAGCTCCACTCAGGGCACCAGCCATTGGCTCTATGCCCAACAGCCCCAAAGCTCTTAGAGGGCAGAGGGTCTGTCCTGTTCACTGCTTGTTCACTGGGTACTTAGTCCAGAGCCTGGCCAGAGAGCACATGTCTACTGTGTATAGGCCCATGACCTCATGGAGCTTAAACTCTGGAGCAGAAAGGAAGAAAAGATAAGCCGACTAGGTAAAGAACAAATATGGCAAAATGATCATGTGGCTCCTCAATGCAGTCAGCCTTACAGCCCCTCAAACTCTAAAGCAGCAGCTCAAAGTCCCAGGGACAGCAGGACTGGACTGAGCACCTGTGACTCAGGGAATCCAAAGATGCCCTCGGATGTCATGTCGGTTTGGGATTCTGCACCAACAGTTCCTTTTCATGTTACAGTGAGGCCTGGGACTCAGTGAAGGCTACTTGGGGTATGTGAGTGTGTATATCCACAAAAAGATAGATTAAGCTAAGCTGGGGTATGGGACAACTGAGATTTGCAGGAATGGGACAGGAAGGATAGAGGCAGGAAAAAAAGACTATGTTGGCGAGCTATGCTGAGAGCTACAAAAGGCTGAGAAAGCCTGGAGTCTTAGAAGAACCCTAGGGGCCTATAGCAGCCCTTCCAGGATCCCAAGTGTGGATCAAACACCACCAGGGAAGAAGCCCCTTCCTTCCTGTTCTCTGCTCACCCAGCATTAACTGCCTCTGCCTCATGAGCTCCAAGGGTCAGATGCTGGAGAGGAAAGCTCCCCTGACCGACACAAGCTAAGAGACTTGCTGTCGTGTTGGCAGCCTCATCAGAGGAACTTGTTCATTTCAACTCTACAGTCACAACCCAAACCACATCTAACACAATCCTGTGCAGGACTCCTATAGAGCTCAGGTCTGGAACCTAAAACGTAAGCCCAGACCATGCTACTCCTTCAAAGAGCAATGGTTGGTTTTAGCCTTGACCTCATGGAACAACCCAGCATTCCCTGACCTCTGAATTCAGGGAGAAAGGGGAATATGGGAGAAGACATCATGCTCCATTGTTCACAGGTGATGAAGGACAAAGATTAATCTATTGAGAGTTACTCTACATTGAAACCCAAGAGTCCTGCCTCCTCAAATCTATTATTCCCAAGGCATATCAGCCCCAAGGATACCAGAGCTTCCTGCCTGACCTTTCATCATATACAGGGTCTAGGGTATACGACCTAGGGGCTCAGAAGAAAGTCTGTTCCTACTTGGCGGGGGCAACGGTGACCCTTGAAACTCATATAACAGAGGGAGGAAGAATCACTTGCTTTTCCCAAACAGGCTCTGGCCTGGGAGGAATGGCTTTTCCCATGGGCTTTTCTCACAAAGGGACCCAGAGCAGCAATGACTAAAGCAAAAAGGGCACTGGCCTGGGAGTCCACTTAGTTCTGTATTAACATGCTATTGCTCTTGGCCATGACCCTTCTCCTCGTTGGGTAACACCTGCCAAGTCAACAGACTTCCCACAATCCTGAGCTACAACTTCCAGCCCCAGTACCTGGCCCAGGTGCACAAGCACCTATTCCAGTGTGGGAAAGGGGCTGGTACTCACCTTGGCCTGTCTGACACCGGCGTCCACTCTCAAAAGAGAAGAGGTTGGAATCATAGCCATAGCGCCGCAGGCAAAGGTAGGGCCAACGGACAGCCTCACGCCGATGCAGATGAAGCACCAGCTCGCTTTGTGTCAGCTCCATCACCCCAGAGCCAAGCTCCACCCCCTCATCATCCACATTCGTCACCTGAGGGAAGGTGGGGACAGAGGGTCAATAAGCAAGTCCAATAAATGTGTATATGGGTCTTGAGCCACTGGGAGGCAGGCTGATGATGCAGGGCGAGAGCTAGGGCACTGAGGGGCTCACCTGACTCACCAGACTCTATGGAATGCCACATGATTACTCAGTGCTACTGATCCATGACAATTCTTTAGACCTCAATTTTATCATTTGGACAGTGAGAGAAGGAAGGGTGCTTAGCTGACCTCCAAGGTCAGATGGTTGGACAACCAAGGTTGGATGACCTCGGACGGTTCATGGCTCAGTATCCAAGGACCAGATGTTAATGGCAGAAGGCGTTCGATTTTAAGCTCAAATCTTAAGACTCTGGGAGAGTAGAACTCAAGGCAGAATACATACATACCAGCTCTACCACCTCTCCAACTGGAGACCCTGGCTGAGGGCTCCCTCTTGTGGTTAGCAGGAGAAACCTGTGCCTCACTGGGCAGGGAGTCAGAAAGGGGCTCCCTCTACAGGGAGGTAGGAGGGGCCAGAGGTGCACAGGTCCACTGGGCTGGCATTAGCTTCCCAAAGCAAACAGCAAAAAACATACTGCTTACGTGTTTTAAGCACTGTTTTAAATACTTACTATATAATTATCTCGCAAATACAGACTTTTGTTGCTTTCTCCAAAGAAGATATATTTATAGTTACAAAAACATACTGACATGAGTGAACATTCTAAAATCATGATTTTTGCTACTGTATTATGGCATTTCTTCTCTTAGTAGTACCAAGAGCCACACAAACAACAGCGGCCTGTGTTCCTCCTCAAGCCACCTCAGAGGCCCTGATCTTTAGAGAGGCTGAGGCAACTGGACAGCTCAGGGCCAGAGCCCAGTAGACCATGTTGAGAATCAGGAGAGGAGAGGGCTGTGGGTACCTTGAACTTGGTGGGGTGGTTGTCTGGGATGCTGTCTCTGTTCAGGCAGCTGCAGCAGCTCCCCATGGTGTCAGAGCAGCCAGCCCACCCTAGGGAAAAACATAAGGGATAAGAAAGTCATCAAGGTCAACTCCAAAAAAGCCCCACTCTGGGGAACTCTGGCAGAACCACCTTGATGTGATCACCTACTCTGCCCAAGAAACTATACAACATTCCTTCCCGCATGGAATTCCCACTCAACCCAGGGCCACACACTGGATAAATATTAACTCAAGTTAGGATGTGTTAAGGATTAATGCTGACAGGAGATGAAAACAGCTTCACAGAGGTGTTATTTGATGTGGACCTTGCGAATCACGTAGGATTTAGGCCAATACGATAGGGAAGGGAAGCCTGGACAGCAGGAAAGCATGGATTTAAGTAGGGACCCAGAAATGACTTACATCAGAAGGAGTTGAGTGCCGACCTGGGGCCTCATTCAGATGCAGCAAAGAAACTAACTCGGGAATCCCACTTTGGCCCGTACTTCTTTTCTAACTCATCCTTCCAACATCATCCAAATCCTCTCTTTTCCTCCTTCACCACAATCCCAACATTCACTTCAACTATCTTTTTGATGTTCTCTCCAAGTGAGGTGCTACATTATGGTCAAAAGATAAACTCAGAAGACGGAACACCTAAAGCAGAGCACAATTTTTATAACTTTGGTTAGGCATTTATTCATCTAAAAAAAATTAATGCTAGGTTTGCTTTTGAACAAAGAGGAGACAGAGGCCTTACTATCTGGCTATTCCCTCCAAGATATGGCACTTGAATTGTATGTCACAACAGGCAAGACCCATATCTAAGATGGAGAGGATACCACTAGACTTGAGTGACCTGAGGGAGCAAACACATGGACTGATCCCAACCAGAAATTAAGAGTTTGCAATTTGCTGCAAGAAATGAGTCTGTAAGATTAAATATCCTTCTAGAACTCTGCCTGAATGTACAAAACTTTGAATAAGCCTGACCTGCACCTTCCATTTCTCCCAACTTGGGAAACTTTAGGAAAGTGGCTCCTACACACAGCTCTTACCTCACCCAGGCCATTGGGGAGGAGACCATGAGAGGGGCATGAGGAAGGACCCCTACTTTATTCCCCTCGCTCTTGGTGGGGCATCATGGCAAGCAGTCTGTAGAGAAGTCACCTGGATTCCTCTGGGACACACCTGGGGCTCACCTAGCATAGGAGACAGAGACCACAGGTTAATGGAAACCTTCCATCCTTACACCAACTGTTAATGAAACTGACTTGCCGTCAGTCCATCCCCCCTGAGTATCTGTCCCAGGTCTTAATGGGATAGAAACACCAAGAAAGAAAGAAAGATGAAGGGCAAAGGGGCCACAAATACCCAGCTCCATAGGCGGAAGAGACTCCCCTAGCACAGAGTTTGAAGTCTGAGGCAGCCCAAGACCTTTTAAATGGCCCCTAGACTCCATCTGAATCCAACACCAAAACCATCACCTTACCTTTGCAGAGAACTTTAACTCTACAAAGAGCTTTCTGGAAAGGACACTATGATGTACTGGAAAGAGCGCTGGCTTAAGATTTAGGAAACCAATATCCTAGTCTGTTTTGTTGCTACTAAATATCTGGAAGACTGTAAAGTCAATCACCCCCCACTCCCGATTTCTACCCCAAGGCCTTAGTTTTTAAGGGAAATATCTGTAAACTGATGAGCTTCTAGCTTAACCTCTAGAGGTTAAATATGTAGGACGACATCACTAAAATAGACATTTTCCTCTTCCAGGACAATCTCCTTTAATCTCACATTTGGAAGCTTGATATTTTCCTGTTCTCCAAGTTCTGAAAGGCCTAAAATTTTTAACATAAACCAAAATTTCAGGGATCTGAGCCCCAGGTAGACAAGATGACAAACCAGGACTTTTGGAGACCCTTGAAATCCCACCCTCCTCTCTGGAAAAACGATATAATTTCCAAGGGCCCCTTGTGCTCTGCATTCTTGGAAAACTTCCCCTTCACAGCCCAATGAAAGGGATTACTTTGGGTGGAACGGGAGTAGGGGGCTCAGGTCTGGGATAGGTGTGGATTAGAAACGGGAGTTAGAGGTTACACTGCCTCAAAATATGAGAGGGCTGGGGAAACGAACAGTTTTCTGGATATGAACGTGGTGCAAGACGAATGGTGGTCGTGGTGGTCCCGATGGATCAGAGGAACTTCAGGGAGGTGGAAGCATTTGGGGGGCATCCAGGAGAGAAAGGTGGCTCTGTGGGCGTAGCACGGGAAATCGCAGGAGTGAGGGTTCTGAGGGCACCAAGACGTGCGAAGGTGTGTCGGGGTAGTGGGGGTGGGGTGGTTCTGTGACGTGAAAGGCAGATTTAGGTTGCAGGATTGTCAGGGAGATTTCTAGACACCGGAAAGGAACGGGGGAGGTTGGGGCCGCGTGTCGTCCCTGGATCCCCCCGCAATCCCGGGGCTCCCCACCCTCCCGCCCAGGGCTTCCTCGGGTGGGAGCCGAGACTGCGGCGCGGCACGGTGCGACCTCGATGGAGCCGCCTCGTCCCCGCC